GGTTCGCGGCCTCGGATTTCTCTCAGAGAAGGGCACGCACTTGTTCGATATGCCTTGACCCTCCAGGTTACGTGTCTGGAAGTCTGACGGGCCGCACTCTGACGACTTTGAGGCCCCAGAGTCCCACCCGTGCCAGTGCTGCGTCCTGAAAGAAGATGGATTTGAATTTAAGGAATCCTTACCATCACGCAGTGTAAGCTGATGCATCACATGAGGCGGGCGCACGGCATCCGCGACCTCGCCCACACTCTCACGCCGTCCAATGTCTGTATCGTCTGCAGGCAGGTCTTCGCCAGCACCTCGAACGCAGGTCGCCACCTCCAGGGATCGGTGGAGAGAGACCATTGCCAGACTCGCGGGCCGTCGACTTTCTTGACGGCGGCCACACTCCCGAAGTCGCTGGTCTGTCCTGTATGCCCTCATGAAGGCTCGAGCTTGGACGACCTTTGCTGTCATGTTGCCTCTCACCTTCCTGTGCCGATCGAGCCCTTCGACCCAGCGGCTGGCCATGTCGGCGCACAAACAGATGCAGCTCGAGCGTCGTGCGTGGTTCAGCGGGAGCACGCGCAAGTCAGAGGGCAAGGGTGAGGACGTCAGCGAGGCGATCGGGACCAGGGACGTGGCCAGGGGCCCCACATCGCACAAGCAGGAGGGCAAGGGCGCTCCGATGAAGGTCGTCACCATGATATCTCGGCTCCTCATGTCGGTGACTCGCGAAACGGCAAACATCTCCTCAACCGTGGTCGTTCGTTACGTGATCTTGGCAGACGGCGCCCTGGCTTCGGCTCTCGCTCAAACAGGCAGGCTTGCGATGAGGAGGGTCAGCGCCTCCGCAAGCAGAAGCAGGGCGGCGAGGACGAGGTCTTTAAAGCTCGAAGCCCACCACACATTCAAATAACAACAACACAAAGCTGAGGAGCGGGTCGTACCGTGAAGACTGGCGGAGAGCAGCAGATGAAGCAGGAGGAGAACAAGCACGAGCTCATCTCCCTTGAGGCAAACATATCGAGGGAGCGTCCATCCCGACCATGGCGCGCGCGATCCCCTTACTTCCGCCTCAAGTTTCAGCAGAAGAGACCGAGGCTCGGCCCCAGAAGGACACGCCTCTGATGAGCGTCTCTCGTGGGAGGCACCGCTCGGAAAAGGCCAATGGGAAAGGCAGTGGAAAGGCTGTTCCTGGAGGGATCGAACTACCTTCCAGGCCGCCGTTGGAGCGCGAGATCAACAGACTGATCGGCAACGGAGAACGAGACCTGCCACGGGACAGTCGGATCGTCTTCGTGCACTCATCGATGGAGGATCGATCGCGCCCGAGGCTCTCAGCACGTGACATGCCTCGGGTGCACACGCGTGCGCGCACGCATCACTGCCTAGCACGCCTGCTATCTTCCTGCCCCAGCCGCCAGCGGGAAGGGGACGGGGTCGTGGTGGTCGTGGGTCGTCGTGGTCGCGGTGGGAGGAGAAGGAGGAGGAGGAGAAGGAGGAGGAGGAGGACGAGGAGGGGGAGGAGGAGGAGGGATGGGGACGGGGTCGTCGTGGCCGTGGGCGTGGGCGGGGGGCTGGGCGGGGGAGGCGAAGCGAGGCCCGGGGCACCCCGCGCCCTTCGAGCCCGCCCCGTCGCGAGTCCCCCCTGCGTGCGGGCCGGAGTGCGCGGCGCGGGCTCCCGTGCTGCCTGGCACAGAGCGCGGCGGAGGACCGCGCTGCCTCTCGCTGGGCTTCGGGAGGGAGCAGCCTCGGAGCCCTCTCTCGTTGTGGCGAGTCGGCCTTCTGTGTGGCGCTGCTGCATGTCGGGCTGTTCTCAGTTGGCAGGGTCCCATGAGCTCACTCATCTATTCATTCCTCCTCCTCCTCCTCCTCCCTCCTCCTCAGGATCCTCCTCCTCGTCCTGGCGGACAGGGTCGACGGCACAGGCCACACGGCCGTCGCAACGAGAGGATACGCGAAATGAGAAGAGGAGGGGGGATGGAGGCAACATAATTATGAGCAGAAGAAGGGTCGGCTGGAGGCGGCACGAGCCCTGGCACTGAAACGCGACGCGGAACACGCTGGCTCTGCCCGATCGGCAGCCGCCTGTCTGGTGGCCCGACCGCGCACGGGGCGACGGCGATCGACGGCCGCGGGCCTCGAGGCCCGCGCCGGCGCGACCCGGGGCAACTCGAGGCCCCAGCCGCCCGCGTGCGCCCGCTGTGCCCGTGCGCGTCGACGCCGCGAAACCCGCGTCGATGCACATCCACTGCGCCGCGCGGCTGCCGCGGCCCTGCTCTCGGAACCCGGCCGCACGGGTCGGGCGGCCCGGGCGCAGGGGCGCGCGGACGCCACCCACAGACTGGAACGCGCACCGCTGGCACACGGCGACGTCGGCACAGGGCGCGCACGTCGGCGCACGGTGTGAAAGGAGTGCGCCGCCGGCGAACACCGCTGGGCGAGGGGGTGCTGTTGAAAGGGGCGGACCACACGGGAGGCAATACGATCCCCCTCCGACACAAACAGCCACACCCCAGCGCACAACCGCGACAGCACCGCCGGTCGCCATCAGTCTGGAAGAGGGCCTGCGCACGGTAGGCGACGGGCCGCGCACTGCGTCCCAGGGGCCAGCCCCGCCGCCCCAGCCCGCTGGGCTGGCCACTGCCGCCGCACACCCGACCCCCAAACGTATTGCTTCCTGTCGCCTAGCAAATCCTCCGCCCTACCAGGAAACGAAGACCAAGGGCACTAGAACCACCCACGAGGGTGTATGCGCCCGAGTGACCTCGGTGCAGCGCGCCCGTCCCCCACGCAGCGCCTCACTACGGCCAGGCAACAGACTCCACGGGATCGTGAAGCGCGGCCACTACACGTATCCCAGCGCTACACCAGCGTGCCTCCAGCCTCACACCCACGCTGAGCAGCATCCACAGGAGAGAGCCGATATACACCTTCTCGACGGGCTCCAACATGCACGGTCCGCTTGGAACGGTCTTTCGGCAGGCCTCGCGCACGCCCGGCGCTCCCCGGCGCACGCTCTCCAGGACAATCTCCAGGCGCCACCTGCTGCTCACCGCCCACCGCCCGCGCACAAAGGGCCAGCCGCCTCCTCTCTCACTCCGGGCCCTGCAGAGCACCTATAGTAAGAGATCCCGTGGCCCTGGCCACTGGGCTGCCGAAGGGGAAGGCCTCGAGGCGGCGGCCCATTCACGCAGGGCCCCGAGGCGCGCAGGCCAACGCGCGGAGAGCCGGGGCCTCCTCCTTTTACTCAGGGGTGCAGGAAGGGGTGCGTCGTCCTCGGCGCCCCATCCCGCTCTTGCGTGGCAGTCGGGGTGCCTCTTGTCTTCCACTCCTGCTGTGCTCGGAGGCGCGCAGACATGGATCAGCGGTCCACGGCTCTGGCGCGCGGTCGCCGAATCCCTGGATCGGGGGAGGCGCCCTCCCCAGAATGTGGCCGGTGCCGCCTCGCTCGGCGGCGGACATTCGCGATTTCCAACGGAAACGGGACCCGTCGCTGATCGACGCCCCCCCCGATCCGTGGATTCGGCGACCGCGCGCCAGACCCATGGATCGCTACAGTCGGGGCGCTGAAGAAGGAACCCTTTTCGTTGGGGAGGGGCTCGGCGTTCCTGGATTGTTGTGCAGTTTTCCTTAGGTCTCCCTGAGGGCTTCCATGGGAAATCGGAGCTCAACTTTTGGGGGAAAGGGGCCCCGTTCCTTACTTAGGGTTCCTTAGGTCAGCGCCCCGACTGCAGTCCATGTTTGCGCGCCTCCGACACGCACGCGGCCCCTCCCGCCACGAGGGGGCGCAGAGGGCGCGCGAGCCCCGCGCGCCCGCACGGGCGCACCGCCGGAACGGTGGCGCGCCCTCCCGGCGGCTCCCCTCCCCTCGCCGCCGCGACCTCGCGGCGGGCCACGGCCTCGTGCTGGGGTCGAGGGGTCGGGGGGGCGCACGTCGGTGGTTGAAAGATTCGGGTCGGGCGCGAAAGGGGGGGATAGCAAAGGGCAGGTTTGAGAACCAACTCACGTAGCTGATTTCCCCGGCGTCTCCCGGCGCCGGAGGCGCCTATGTATCGAGGAATGGGCCCCTCGGTGAGGCCGAAACCAGCTGCATGCAGCAAATTTCGTAACCCCCCCTTTCCCAATCCCACCCTTTCGTCCGGCCCGAAAGATGGGATCCTGAGGGACGGGGGCCTAAGGATAGGAAGGAGTCCAAGGGAGGATGCACGTTGTTTGAGGCACCTCGTCCTCAGGACCCCATCACTCAGGACCTTGGTGGAGCCCGGGAACGGCAGGGCCATTTCTCAACGTTTCCAAAAAAGTGTCCCTCGAAAATGGAAACGGCAAAAAACACGGCGACCGGAAACGGTAACAAAAACGGCTCCAGGATTGGAACCGGAGCCGGAACCGGTCAAACAACGGCGACGGAACCAATCAAAAAACGGCGTCGGAACCGGCAACAAAAACGGCAACACGGGACCGGTAACAAAAACGGCCCTGTCACTCCAGGGCCCACTGAGCTCAGGACTCCATCCATGAACCGCCGAGCAGGCGTCCAGAGCAAGGCCGGGCGGCTCCCCAGCCGCCTGCGGGCGCAGTTGTCGCCCGCGCCGGCCCGGCCACTCTGCCAGGTCGGGGGTCCGCGGCGGGGCGCCCTCCACGCTGGTGCCCCCCGCGGGCGGTGGGCGCCGTGGTCAGCAACCGCGCTGCGCCTGGGTCGCCAGGGTGGGACGCCGCGCACGCTCCCGCCTGAGGACGCGGCCGTCGGCGCCCGCTGAAGCACCCCGAGCACCGCAAGTGTTGGCGGTGAGCCAACAGGACGAGGAAGTCGCCCAACAGGTGACCCGAGGGAACAGCAGGGGAGGCCGAGAGGTGATGCCCACCCGACAAAAAGGAGAAGAATGGACACGGAGGAGAAGGGTCACGGAGGCGGGCGAAAGGACGGACGGAGGTCCTTCCACCCGACAAGGAGCGCGGGCGGAAGGAGGGTGGGACACGGAGGAGCAGGAGGGGGACCGAGGCAAGAGAGGCACGTCCTCGGCGATCTGCTGCAGCACGTTGCACTGCCATCTCCTGGCCGTCACGCACGCCTCCGCGGGCGCGCGGCACGTGGCGCATGGCTCCCTCCCCCAGCTCAGGTCGACGTCGTCGTCGCCATCGCCATCGCCGCCCTCGCTCCTCATGCTCGTTCCCCTTCGTGATCGCCCTGCCACCTCCTCCCTCTTACGATCTTTTGCGATCCCTGCAAGACCACGCTCCTTCATGGTGAAGGTCCGAGGTAGGCGGCGAAGGAACGGACGAACGCGAAGAACAGAAGTATCGGCCGAAGCCGAAGGGGGGAACGGGCGACCGCACCCTCACGGCGGCCTCGGCGAAGGTGAGAAGGGAAAGCTCCTCTCGGGCTGGCCCCCTAGAGAGGATCCTTCTTCTCGCGCAACTGCGTTTTAAACGCAACCGCCACGTCCCATAAGAAAAGCACATTCTGCACCAGATGAGCCCCCCGATGGTCCAGAGCGGCAGGATTGTCGTGGCAGGCCAGTGCATGGGAGGGAACTCAGCACATTGTATGACATGCCAAAAACCAACATTTGCCGCACCTGTGCCCCTTCCCCCCCCGCCCCCAACCCTTTCACATCAGTCCTCTGCCGAATGCGCCCGCTGCGCTCGCAGACCAGCGGCCCAAGACGGCCCAAGGGACCCCCAAGACTGCCTCCCAGGAGGCCAAGGCAGCCCCACGTGGTCCGAAAGAGTTCCATGACAGCTGATCAAATAGTGAAGAGGGAAGGTGTTGCATGTGACGGCATTCCTCGTTCCTCCTCCTCCTCCTCCTGTTGGTGCCCCTCATCCCCCACCTCGTCGACATCACCATCATCATCATCATCATCATCATCATCATCATCATCATCATCATCCTCATCCTCTTCCTCATCCTCATCCTCCTCCTCCTCCTCCTCCTCCTCCTCCTCCTCATCATCATCATCATCATCATCATCATCACCATCAATACCATCATCAATCATCATCAGCATGCTCCCTCTCCTTCTCCTCCTCCTCCTTTTTCTCCTCCACGGCCTTCTACTCCTTCTCCTCCTCCACCGCCGAGTCCTCCTCCTCTTCCTCCTCATTCTCCTATTCACCATCATCAGCATAATCATAATCATCATCATCATCATCATCATCATCATCATCATCATCATCATCATCATCATCAACATAATCATGATCAGCATCACCATACGCATAATCATCATCATCATCATCATCATCATCATCCTCAGCATCATCATCATGAGCAGCAACAACATCATCCTCGTCCTCAGCATCATCCGCATCATCGTTGTCCCCATCAGCATCAGCATCATCATCATCAGCAGCATCATCATCAACACCATCATCACCAGCATGCTCATCATCAGCATCGTCATCAGCATCAGCATCAGCAGCAGCAGCACCATCAGCATCAGCATCATCAGCATCATCATCAGCAGCATCACCGTCGTCGTCACCGTCGTCATCAGCATCATCATCAGCATCAGCATCATCATCCTCATCCTCATCGTCGTCATCAGCATCATCATCATCATCATTATCATCACCATCACCAACACCACCAGAAAAGTATGAGCTCGACCACAAGATACCTTCCACAAGAGATCCAACCCTGACACCCCAGGGCGTCGATTGATATCTGGTGTGGGAACGCCACGCCTTCCCTAGCACAACCAGCGACACCACAGAAACCCAGGGCACCCTGGAGGCAAGGAGGGTGTTTCTGGGCGTGGGTCTCCACTCTCTAATCATCCGAAGTCCTAAGCGTCATCATAATTACTCCATCTTCTCCTCATACCCATCCTTCTTCTCCCTCTCCTCCTCCTCCTGCCCGTCCTCCTGCTCCTCCTCCTCCTTCTCATCAAGATCAGGATCAGGATCGTCATCATCAGCAGCAGCAGCATCAGCAGCAGCAGCAGCATGTGCATCAGCATCAGCATCAGCATCATCAGCAGCATCATCATCATCATCATCATCGCCATCGTCATCGCCATGGCCATCGCCATCATCCTCATCCTCATCCTCTTCATCAACATCATCATCATCACCATCATCATCATCATCATCATCATCATCATCATCATCATCATCACCACTATCATCACGGCGATCCCAAGCCTGAAAACAGAAGGCGCCACATGTGAGGGCCTCGCGTGCCCCCTCGATGCGACAGCGGCCCTTCCCATTCCTGACATTCCCGTTCCCATTCCCTGTCCCCTCTTCGCGACGACGACGGCGGCGGCGACGTTCACGGCGGTGGCAGTGGCGACGACGGCGGCGTCGGCGACGGCGGCGACGATGGCGTCGGAGAGGCAGCGACGACAGCGACGACAGCGACGAAGGCGGCCAGGGCGGCGGCAACGGCAGTGGCGACGGCGGCGACTGCGGCGACGGCGAGGCGAAGGTCCCGCCGAGGCCCGCGCCCAGGCCACCGTGGACAGGTTCGCGGCGGAAAACTGGGAGACGCACCCGAGGACGTGCTGCTGCGCGGCCTGGAAGAGCCGGAAGTTGGGGGCCTCAGAGGGCGACGACGAGGGCGAAGACGACGACAACGACGACGACGACGGCGACGACGACGACGACGACGGCGGCGGCGGCGGCGGTGGCGATAAGGCGACTGCGCGAGGGACTCCTCCTCTCACTTATCCAGGACCCCCCCTCCGTCCAAATCCCTAGGAGAACAAAAAGTCTAATGTTCGTCCAGACCATCTCAACGCTTCACTAAGACCTCGACTCGAAGACAACCGACAGGAACAGAAACGAATACTGCAGGCTCGGGTCGTGACGGCCCATACACTTGTTTCTGACACCGCATTTGAACGCCCGTGGCGGGGTCGCTGCCGCGTCGACGAGGCACGAACCTGCCGTACGCAGACCCGGCGCAGGCCTCAGGCGGTCAAACCGCCCAAAAGCACGCGTGCATCCTGGCGACACGCCCTGGCCCCACCTCCTCCTTTGTGATCCACGTGCTCGTCGCCGTCGTGGTCCTCGCGATGGCCGCTGTAATTGTCGCCGTTTGTGTCGTCTCGTCCTCCTGGTCAGATTCATCGTCGTCGTCATCGTCGTCCGCCTCCTCGAGCTCCCCCTCCACTTCCTCCTCCTCCTCCTCCAGCCTCAGCCCCTCCTCTTCGACCACATTGACATGGCCGCACAAGAACCTGCTTGGGGCCGCCCTCCCCCACCATATTCACCAATCCAAGACGCCGTCGATAGGCTCTGGAGGGAGCCGGGGCCCTCCCTAGGGCCCCTCGTCCAACGAAGACGGCCGCACGAAGGGCGTCAGTATACCTCCACCGGTTGGCAGCTCTGACCTGATGGCGCCACTTGCCACCATCCGATATTGCGCTCCTTTTCCCCCTCCCCCTCCTCAGCTTGAAGACGCGCAGGACGACAAGGCAAACGAAGCGCCCGAGGAGGAGGAAAAAACTTCACGCCCGCTGACAGCAATGCAAATAATTGCGCCGAGCGATAGGAGCGTGACAAAACACACCCCACCACTTTGGAACTGAAACTCAAGAAAAAACGCCACCTTTGGGGCGAACGGTTCACCTCTTGTTCCTCGACACCTTCCGCACGGGAACTGGACCACCTGCACGTATTGATGGCTTGGGAGACACCGACAAGAAAAAAGGGAAGCAAAACGCACCGCCTGTCGAGGTGAAGCGCTGGACTATCACCGTAGTCCGCCGAACCACGCTCACACGGCAAAAGCACATGCGCATACTACCCAAGCCAACGGTTGGAGAAGCGCTGGCTGCGTACAATTTGCAACTCAAGCTGGAGATACCGAAAATAGACTAAGCAACCAGCGCTGAGCACGACTGAAAGATTGTTTCCCGAGAACGCCTCTAGCAACTTACAAGGTAGATGCGCCCCCCGTGCGGTGATGGGAAAACGCAAAACTGCAAATGATGACCCCCATGGGCCTTATCAGTTTTTGACTGAACATGATGGCCACTGGCAACCATTGGAAGCGCCGTGGGCTATGCGATCGAACCACTAAGCACCACGACTGTAACACAAAAGCGGGAACACGCTGGTGCAACTGCGGAACACATCGACCCGGAAGTGGAAGACGCCCGAACGCACAAGGAAACATGAGAACAGGAAAATGCCACCGGCAGGCTTGTGCTTGATTGATGAAGTAGCCCGACAACGCTCCCAAAAACATGCCATGGATGGCCCGCCCCGAGTGGTCCAACAGCTTGAACAACAGAAACAAGATGCCAACAACTGAAGGAAGGACGGCTCAACGTCTTGAAAAAAACAACATCGTGCAAAACACTGCAAGACTATTCGAGCACTTCGCCTAGGGCGCAATCAGCTTTTCGTACATGTAGGGAGAGAATCCGCTGCGGTTGGGATACGCGCGGCGCGATGAGCCGCCGAGGCGCGACGTCGAGGGCGGTTGGAACCACAAAGTACATGGCCGCGGACCCGCCTCGGGCCGCTTGCGCCTGAGGAGGAATCGGAAGAGAAGGAAAAGGGTGACCGAGGAGAAGGAGGAGGAGGAAAAGGGTGACCGAGGAGGAGGAGGAGGAGGAGGGCGAGGAGGAGGGTCGAGGAGCAGGATGGACCAGCAACAACGAGGCCCTGGCGGCCGTCTGCAAGCAGACGACCGCCAGGGCCCCAGATGTCGAATGGCTTCCCCGCGAGCGCGCCGCGCAGACGCCGTGGCGACGAGGGAAGGACCTCGAAGAAACCCGAACAGGCATCCGACCGACCCTGGTCTACCCCGAGGGCAAGCCGGGGGAGGAAGCCACCCCCGCGGGGACAAACCCTGCACCCCGGCAGCCACCCGCGGCCGCCCACCCACCCCGACGGGGGAACGCGGCAGCCACCCCAAAAACCGCGCCGAGGGGTGGGGTGCCAGGATTACGAGGCGGACCCAACAGGAGAGAGCGAGTGCCCGCGCCCAGCTCATCCGACGCAGTCGAGGCACACGGTATAGCGGCACCGCTCGCGCCGCTTCGTGGCCGTCTGCTTGGGGAAACGCCCTCGAGCACCACTCGCAGACGAAGGCGAACAGCGGGCGGCGGCGGAGAACGAATTCGTGCCGAGCGGGGCAGAGGTAGCGGAACGCGCCGGGCGAAACGTCCTCCGACTCACCGCCAGGGACACGAAAAGCGGCCACCGTAGCCTCCGAGACGCCGTCGCCCTCGCCCTCCTCGCCGCCCCGCTGTGCGCCAGCCAACGGGGCCTGCGAGACCTGCACATCCACGAACTCCTCGGCGTCCGCACCGCCGCATGCCCCCCATTGCACCGCGAAAGCGACATACGACACAAGACCCTAGCGGCCGACTTCAAACGTCGTGCAAAACGGTAGCCACGCGCCACAGCCGCGCGAGAGCTCCGCAACAGTTCAGGATGCACCACGCGGCAGGCAGCCACCTCAAAGTCCACGTCCTCGCTCTCGCCATGCATGGACTCCGTCACGCACGGCGTCGGCACAGCGTCTGTCTGCACATCTGCATCTGCAACCGGCGCCTGCACGACCTGTGCCCCCCGCGAACTCATCGGCGACCTCGCCGACGCACGGCACATCCCGCACCGCGGCGGAAACGTCCAGCACAACGCCCTCGGCCGAAAACTCCGAGTCCACGCCCACGCGCTCGCACATCGCGGTGCCATGCACGGGCTCCGTCACGCTCGGCATCTGCACGGAGGGGGGCGGACATCGGCGCGAACACCGTAGCACCACAAATGTAGCGCACGCCCACTGCGCGGCAAGCATCTCGCGGCACCAACGGCTTGGCCTCAGCCCGCATGCCACCAGCCGTGTGCCCCAGGCGGGGCCCAGCAGCAACCCAGGACAGCGCCGCCGAGGACAGCGCCGCCGAGGACAGCGCCGCCGAGGGCGCCGCCGAGGACGCCGGCACACGGCGCGCATGCCAGGCCGTGTTACGCCCGAACCGCATAACGCCCGTGACGCGATCCCTTGCAGCGAGCCTCTGCAGAGCCGGCCTCGACGCGCGCTCGCGGTCCACCCACGAGCCTGGGGCGCCCCGTGCCGCCACCAGTGGACGCAACGCTGCTTCCAGAGCCGCACGACCGAGCCGCCGTGCAGCACGCCTCGCCGCGGAAGCGCCGAGGGAGTCCTTCCCCATGATCCTGAGAACACTGCGCCGCCACATCGGCGGGCAGCCCTCCGCAGCCATCCAACACGCGCCCGCCGCCGTTGCCGCCACCGAGCTGCCGACGATGGGCGAAAAGGCTGAGGAGAAAGCGTGGCAAACGGCCAGAGCCAAAATGGCTACGGCTACGGTGGACCGAGGAGGAGGAGGAGGAGGAGGAGGAGGAGGAGGAGGAGAAAAGGAGGAGAGGAATAGGAGAATGAAGAGGAGGAGGACCTCCTCCTCCTCCTCGCCCTCCCGCCACCTGCATCTTGGCGAAGCCCCAGATGAGGTTGGTGAGCTCGAACGGATGGAACCTGTCCATGTACGGCAGCGAGAGCTGGCTGCGCGCCGGGTCGCGGAGGACTCCCCGGCGGGCCCCGCCCGGCCCTCCTCCCGCCGCCGCCTCTGTTGGGCTAGGAGTTCGCTTCGAACGCGGCTACCCCGTCCTCTTCCTGGTCCTCCTCCTCCTCCTCCTTCTCCTGTTCCTACTCCTCCTCCTCCTCCTCCTCCGCGATTAGTGTGTTCGGGTTGTTTTCGTTTTCCCTCGTTCTGTCTTCGTCCAGCCTTTGCTGCTGGACGGAGTCCAAATGAAAGCTATGAACGAAAAGGTCAGGCCCTCCCTCATCACCCTGTAGGTGGCGAAACAGATAGGACCTCGTATCCGTTCCTACACGAGCTTTCACGCCAGCCAGAGAAGTGGCCGGCCCCAACGGGCGCGGTACGCAGGCGGACCTGAGAGGGCAGCCGCCAGGTGGGAATATGGGGGCTCATGCTGGAGGCCTAGAAATGGGCACCATCACCAACACAGAGGGTGGCCTCCACATGGGGAAGATGATCCTGAATTTCGGTGTCGGTGGCAGTATTTCGCTCACCTTGGAAGCCAGAATATTACCACCGTCACCGAGATCGGGATCTTCTTCCCTCGGTGGAGGCACACCGCCGAAATTGGTGTCGGTGTCAACCTCTAGGCCTGCGATCATAAGCAATGCACATATATCTGTATCCGCGCCCTCGCGGTCTTTACTCCGGGCAAGATCCCGCGGATACGCGGTCACACGGGTGCGTTCAGTGCGGGGTAGCCGCGAAGCAGCGCCCCGTGTCCGCGCGGCCTCGCGGCCCAGGGGCCCAGGCCGCGAGGCCGCGCATGCGCAGATGTGTTTTACGCCCATGGGGAACCGCTGCCGCGCAGCCGCCAAGGCGCGACAGCGTTCCCCATGGGCGCGACAAACCAACACTCGAGTAGGGGACGAACTACGTAATTCATTTACCCCACAATTTCGTCGAGTCTACAAGAGATGCACACGTCGAATGTTCGTAGATCTACGGGGCTTTCTACGAGTTTGCTCGTAGATTCGACGGAAACTCATTCTG